TTCAAATAAAAGTATAGCGTATTTCAATGCAAATGCAAGCCAATAAAAACAATTCGTCTAAAACTTAAGTACAGGTAATAAATTAAATAAATTAAATAAATTAAATAAATTAAATAAATTAAATAAATTAAATTAAATTAAATTTTAAATTAAACTAAATTAATTTTCTTATTAGAGACTACAATTATTTGTAGTTAAGTCGTTAATTGTTTTTCTGTTTATTATAAAATTTGCATTTTTTTTTTAGAATAAATTCAAGATTGTATAACTGGAAGAAGGATCAGAAGAAGAAACTAGCCATGTGAGTAGTTTGAATGTTTAAACTATAATAACTAATTTATAAAAAAAAGTTTATTATTGCTAATTTATTATTAATATCAATAACAATATTATAATCAGACAGTCAACTAAACATTATTTTTTCTTCTTTCTCTCACTCTAAGAGTAAAATACAAATTTCGAAGGTTGCGCCTGATATTAATAATTCATTGAATTCTACAATTTTTTGAAATTGATTAAATTCAAGAAAAATAATACTGGCTTTAAGTATATTAATAATAATTTATTAATAATTAAAAAATTATCATCATTTACATTATGAAAATAATTTTATTATATCGTTTATGGAAATTTCAGTAATATTCATTTTTACTTTATTTATTTTTTTTTTGTAAGAAAGAATCCGCGCCGGAAACTGTCTTGAATAGTAAACTGAAAATTTATAGTTGTGTGGCTATTCGTTTGCGTTTGTGTTTTGTTAAACCTTTGGTGCAACATAAACTGTTTCATGGTCTAACCTTAAAGCCCGATTTAACGTGAGTCGTAACCCGCACGTGGAACTAACTTTCCAAGTCTGTGACAAAAGCGCATTACCATCAAATGGAAGGCAAACGGTCACTAAAAATACTTTCAAAAGTAACAAAAAAAAAAAGAAACAAAAAGTTTTGTGTGCTTTTAATTATAAAACAAATATGAAAAAAATTGACTCATTGTTTCAAAGTTATATATATATATTTTTTTTAAAGTTATTATTCTTCTGGGAAGTAGTTTAAAAGTTAACAAAAAAAATAAACATGAGCGTTAAGCTATTTGTGAGGCATGAGGGAAATCTTTATAATCATTAATTTGTTTTCATGAATGTGACTATTATTTCACCGTTTTTTTTTAATTTATCCATCTAGTAAATAATAATTGTTCGAAATATTATACTGTCAAATATTTTTATTCATTTAATTTTTATAAGGATGAAATTGAAAAAAAATTAAAATATTTATATTATATTATTACCACTACAATTCGATTAAATATTTTCATTTGAAAATTAATATTAAAGTCCTTAATAAGACAGATTAATTAATTTTGAAATAAAAATATTAAAATTAAATTAATTCGTAACTGTTGGATAATAATTAATTATAATTGTATAATTAATTTATTTTCATTGAAGAATATTTTGTTCAGTTTCAAAAGCTTTTGATCAATTTAAAGTTAAATTGTTTTAGTTAGAGGGAAGTTGGTAGGAGAAGGAAGGAGTTGGAAAAAGTTGAAAGCATTCGGTTTGTGTTTCAAGATGCAATTGACTTTAGGAATGACATTTCATTTAAACACGAAGTAGTATAGTAAAAAGTGCAAGGGGAAGAAGTACGCGTTTAATCAGACGCCAAGTCGATTGCTATTACACTTACTTATTCCTGATCCTGGTTTAGATATACGTTTTCTTTTCTTACATTTCAGTACGTAAGCTTTCTTGTAAAATAGGATTTTCTTGTGTGATTACTTTACAGCTCCAGCACTCTGAATTTTTACGACATCCATGCAATTCTCCCTTGGGATAATTTTTCTTTTCTTTGGTGTCATTTGTATGTAAATTGGCTTTCGATCTTTGAATATTCTCTACTAACGATTTACTATGCTAAATAAATACAAAGGATTTTTCTCATTGTCACAAACAGTTGAATTTAAATAATAATGAGTTATATGTGGGTGTGAGTTTTTTTTTGTTAATTTACTTTTTAAAGTAAGATTAGTTTTCGAGAATATTATAAATTTTTGTTTATTGCTTCAATTTATATTCTCAAAAAAAAAAAAAAACCTCGGTTTTTCTTAAAAACTACTGTCATTTTTTTTACAGAAACTTGAATATTTTTAAGCACTTTATTTCGAAAGTTGTTTTCTGAACAATCTGAATTTATTTTAAAAGTACTTTTTTTAAAAGACCATTAAAAATTTGTTTCTAAATGTTTTAGTATTATTTCAAAGAATGTATGAATTATTTCTAAAGCAAATTTAACATTTTGACATTTGTTTAGTATACTATAATTTTTATCTAAAATTTCGTTTGTTGAAAAAATGTTGATCCAAATTTTTTATTCTAAAGAAAATGATGATTCTGGTTTGAAAAAGTTTCTTTCAATAATAATTTCTACAAGATTACAAGTAATTTTGTCGTTAATGAAAACTAATATAATTAATCACATAGCAATAGTTTTAGAAAAATATTATAAAATTGTAAAAAGAGAAATTATGGCACTTGAAATACACGTTTGCTGTTTGATGCGTGCAGAAATTAATTGCTTGGGTCTCGATTATATAGTCCAGTCGGATTAGCCTTACACGGGACGTACTTGTTGTACTTACCGTATTAGCCAACTCGTATATTAACTGGTCTTTGAACGCCGTCCACTGACCTCACGAACTTCACAACCTCTCCATTAGTAGAACATATCGTATAGATGTTAAAGAGTTTACTGCCACCTCTCAACTCATGTCCTCCTCTACTAAGCTACATTATACATATTACATTCTATAATCGAAAATTACCATAAAAAAATGTTTATTAAATTTCACAATTTTTAGTGAGACAACGCCTCATATAGAAAAGAAAATCGATTTTATTTTATTAATTTCTATACTCTCTAAATCTGAATAAGTCACAGGTGTCTAAAAAGAAAAAAAAGTTTGCCTACGATGCCAAGAAAAATCATTGTTACCCAGTGGTTCCTTAGCACCCTCTGAAACGATAAAACTTAACCCGAAAATCGTAGCTGTTCATTTAGGGAAGACTTTGGGATTTTTTCAAAAAAATTATTTTTTAAGGATCAGAAAAAAGTTTTGAATTGTTTAAATTGTTTACGAATAATCCACTAATTCAAAATAATTCATATTAGACGTTGAAGACTTTTAAAACATTCTAAGTGAAATTTAATTTATTCAGATTTAGAGAGTATAGGACTCGGTAAAAAATTATCGAAGCTACAAACAATAAATTATTCTATTTGAAAATTAAAGTTTTTCTAAAAAAAAGTCTTCAACTTCTGAGTTATGGAAAAAATTAAGAAAATACAGATAATACAATAAAAATAATAATTTCAAATTTTTGTTTGAATTAATATTAAGAGCATTTGAACCTTCGTGACGTCACAAATCATGGCGCATGACACGCAAACTTCTCAGGTATGTGAAAAGCACAATTTTGAATATTTTTTAAAAAAACCTTTTGGAAAATGTTCAGAATAACATAGACTCTGTCTGTTATGTGCGGAAAATTCAAAATTTTGCGTTTAAAACGTTTTTTAAACAATGTTTAAGTTGGTTGTCACAAGTAAGGAAAAATACACGAATTGCTTATATGTAGGCCATTTTTGGAACTTAAACATTGTTTAAAAAACGTTTTAAACGCAAAATTTTGAATTTTTCGTACATAACAGACAGAGTCTGTGTTATTCTGAATATTTTCCAAAAGGTTTTTTTAAAAAATATTCAAAATTGTGCTTTTCACATACCTGAGAAGTTTGCGTGTCATGCGCCATGATTTGTGACGTCACGAAGGTTCAAATGCTCTTAACATAAAATGTTTTAATAAAAACAATAAAAGAAATATTATAAAATCAAACTTAGTTTACTTTTTAACGAGACAAATATTCTTGCTAAAAAAATGACGATTATTTGCAAATCATGGATATACTGATTTTTACGTCTATAATTATTGATTTTTGTACTATTTGTTAAACTGTTAAATATTTTTATTGTTAAATGCTAGTGAAAATAATCACGCGTACTAAAGAATACTCTTTAGTCTCGTATTGTTTAAATATATACGATATTTACTTAAAATATATTATCTTTACCACCCTGTTTATACACTGAAAAAAGAACTAGTAGGTTTTACTACTTTTTAACTACTCTGAGTAGTACAATAGGTCCTTGTTAAGAATGACTAAAATGACAATCGGAAATTGTCGTTGACGTGCGATGAAACGCGAATATTTTAAGTAAGAAATTTTAGATAGAAAAAGAACGAGGATCGTCAGTACTCGACACGAGGGCGAATAATAACTACTGTAATAGACGATACATTTTTTTGAATTATATTAAATTAAATAAATCATGTGGAGTGATTGTTTATAAATAATGTGAATGTTCTTTTTAATAAATTATAATAGTAAGAATAACAATCTTGAAAATAAATAAATATGAATAGTGATTAAATTGTTACAGACTTTATTTAATCCTAGAAGCCACACAATTAAAACATTAAAAATTATTAGGCTTGATTGTGTAGAATTAACATTTTGGTCCTTCGAGCCGGATTATTCGCATAAACTGTGTAGTGAAAAAGTGTCGAGTGCTCAAACTTTGGTTCGGTTTTATAAAAGAAAACTGAAATTAACTGTGAATAGAAATTTATATTGTGATCGAATTAGAGTGTAACCAAATTACGTGAGGGCCATAATCGGGCAGATCTATCTGGAATTGGTGGTTGCATTCTCAAATTGCTGAGGTCTCATTTATATTGAGGATTTGAAATATTTGAAGAAAACTCTGGAACGCTTGGAAAATAAATCGTCGATTTGAGTGGAATATAGTCGCCTTCTCTGCTGATCAATTGTCTTCATGGTATCTCATCAATACGTGAGCCTATTGTTTTGCGTTATTATTGTATCTAACTATTGTTCGATTCTTAATTGGGTTTATTTGAAAATATTATTAGTTTAATAACAATGGCAGAAACACGTGAACTTGAAGTTGCTCGACAAAATAGAACTAATTGTAAAAGTAAATTAACAAAATTTAAAACTTTTATAGAAAAATGTCAAACAAATATTGAAATTAGTGTCGAGGAAATTCAAGTTCGCTTAAGTAAAATCGAGGAAGTGGAAAAGGAATTTGACAGAGCTCAACTAACATTAGAAATATTGGCTCCGGGAATAAATCGTGAACAAGATAGAGCGGAATTTGATGAAAATTATTTTAAATATGTAGCGTTAGCAAAGCAAATTTTGAAAGATCGCAATTTCCAAAATCGCGATATATTATTGGAGAATAACGAAATAGATCGACAACGAAATCGTATAGCGTTGTTAGAAGCTGAGTTGAGTTCTCGTCGAGATGCCGAGATTGCAGGTTTGAGAGATATAATATCATCGAGAAATTCTAATGAATTAAGTACAGTGCGCACGCATTTTCCACTTCCTAAGCTAGACCTTCCCACTTTCTCTGGGGGATATGAAGAGTGGTTGGGTTTTCGCGACACGTTTGTGGCTATTATTCATGACGATTCAACTATACCGAAGGTACAAAAGTTTCGGTATTTGAAATCTTATTTGAGGGATGGTGCCGCTCGCGTTGTTGAAAATATTGCAATATCAGAGTCGAGTTATGATGAAGCGTGGAAATTATTAGAAGATCGATTTAATAATAAAAGAATTATAATCCAGAGCCATATGACAGCTCTGTTTGATTTAACAAGTCCGAATAAGGAATCGCCATCGTGTCTTCGTAATATGCTTGATTCAATTTTGAGACACACTCGCGCGTTAACAGTCTTGGGTCAGCCGGTGGAAAAGTGGGATACCCCGCTGATATATCTTATCGCTTCAAAACTAGACAAAGATACCAGAAGAGAGTGGGAACGGTCAGTTAAGGGGAACACAATGCCTACGTTTAATGAGATGACTAATTTCATTCAGGAAAAATGTCAAGTGTTAGAATCAATGAATCCTGTCACCAGTGAACATAAACATATGTCAAAATCAAATAATAAATTACAGGGAAATTATGAAAAGAAAAGTACGAGTAAATCTTTATTAAACACACAAAATAATTATAATTGTAGTTTATGTAATGGAAATCATTTTATTCAAAAATGTCCTACATTTCAAGAAATGACTACTGGTGACAGAATTCAAACAGCAAAGAAAAAAGGCTTGTGTTATAATTGTTTAAATAAAAATCATCTAATAAGTAATTGTAAGTCAAGAAACTGTTCTGTGTGTAATAGACGTCATCATACTTTATTACACAAGGAATCAGAAAATGAATCGAATGCGAGTAGTTTGAATGTAGGGGATAAGAATGCATCACAGGAAAATGTATTAAAAAATTGTCATGTTATCGACTCTTCTATGGTTCTTCTCTCAACAGCAGTGGCAGTTGTATTAGATGTTTATGGTAAAAAATATAATTGTAGAGTTTTATTGGACAGTGGTTCTCAACCGAACATAATGACTGAGTCTTTGGCTAACAAATTAAATCTTAGAAAGAAGCGATTACAATCTTCAATTGAAGTTCTCAATAGCAATGAAATAAATAGTGCTGAATGGGTAGAGACTGTTATTGAATCTAAAACTTCTAATTTCGCGACAAAACTTTCTTTTTTAATCCTTCCAAAAATTACAAGTAATATTCCATCTATTCCTATAAATAAACATTTGTTTAAAATACCTTCTCATATCAAGTTAGCTGACCCTCATTTTGACATACCAGCTGCTATAGATATATTATTAGGAGCAGAAATATTTTATGAATTGTTGTGTAATAATAAAATTTCTCTCGCGATACCACACACTTCTCTTCAAAATACTCAATTAGGGTGGGTCGTGACTGGAACAATATACAATAATAATCAAAAACAGACAAGATTAACGTGTAACTTGATTCGGGATTCATTATCAATGCAGTTGGAGAAATTTTGGAAAATGGAAGAAGATGTCAAAATGGTTCATTTATCAAATGAAGAAGCTAGATGCGAGAAACACTTTGTAGAGAATAAAAGTCGTGACCTTGAAGGTAAATACATTGTACGTTTACCATTCAATCATCGGAAGGAGGAATTAGGGAAGTCATATGAAGCAGCTATGCGAAGATTCTTCATATTGGAAAGGAGGCTGTTAAAAAATGAAAAACTGAGGCTTTCTTATAATCAGTTCATGCAGGAGTACGAAGATCTTGAGCATATGGAGCAATCAAGTAGTGGACCAAATGAGGGTTACTACCTTCCACACCAAGCCGTGATCAGAGAGACCAGCCTCACCACAAAACTAAGGGTTGTATTCGACGGGTCAGCGAAGACGAATACTGGAATCTCTCTCAACGAAACTCTATTGGTGGGCCCTACGATCCAAAGTGGATTGATCACCATATTGATTAGATTCCGACAATATCCTGTAGCACTGATTGCGGACATCGAGAAAATGTACCGTCAATTTTGGATACACCCTGACGATAGAAAATTTCAAAAGATTCTGTGGAGGAAAAATTCGGATGAGCCTGTTAAAACATTTCAATTAAAAACAGTCACATACGGAACTTCTGCAGCTCCTTTCTTAGCGATTCGATGCTTGAAGGAATTGGCCAAAGATGAAGGTTCACATCATCCAAAGGCAGCTGAAGTTCTTGAAAATGATTTCTATGTAGATGATCTGGTAACTGGTGCTGAATCAATTGAAGAAGCTCAAGAACTAAAACATGACCTACAACAGTTGACCGAAAGAGGGGGACTTCATTTATGTAAATGGAGGTCAAATAAACAAGAAGTCACCGGGAACACAGATGATAAAGTAGATTCACGATTGAAGTTAGATTTGGAAAAAAACTCAAAGACCTTGGGAGTAATGTGGGATATAAAACAAGACAATCTGTGTTTTGAAGTTGCACTCGGACGAAAAGAACCAGTAACATCCAAAAGAATCATGCTTTCCGAAATAGCCAAGCTGTATGACCCGCTGGGATTAGTTGCTCCTGTAATCACCTATGCTAAAATCAAAATGCAAGAGTTGTGGAAAACTGGATCATCATGGGATGATCCAGTGCCATCTGACATCTTAGAAGATTATGAAGAATATCAGCGTCAATTGTGCGCGATCAACAACTGGAGCATAGGAAGATCAATAAGAGATCAAGGATCTGATGAGTTTCAGCTTCATGGTTTTGCAGATGCAAGTGAGAGGGCGTTTGGTGCATGCATATATGCTAGATCATCCAAAGGTGGGGAACATCGAACAACTCTTTTGTGTGCAAGGTCACGAGTGGCTCCAATAAAAACAGTAACCATTCCTAGGTTGGAGCTTTGTGCAGCAGTACTTTTAGTTAGACTTTTAAAGATTGTGAAGGAATCATTGCGTTGCCGAGTAGATAGAGTCATGCTTTGGTCAGACTCAACCATTGCATTGAGTTGGATCAAATCTTCACCTCACTTGTTTAACATCTTTATAGCAAATAGAGTGGCTGAGATCCATGAATCATCTAGTGCTGAGATGTGGAGACACGTATCTTCAGGAGATAACCCGGCTGATGCAGTTTCCAGAGGTCAAATGCCGGAGGATTTTTTAAATAATAAATTATGGAAAAGTGGTCCAGAATGGTTAAAAATTTCTGATGATCACTGGCCAAATAACATGATTCCAGAACCAGATCAGTCAGAATCAAGAAAAACAAAAGTTTTAATTGCAAAGCCGAAGTCATCTTGGAAACAATTATGGAGTCGATTTTCATCTTGGAAAAAATTGACTCGTGTGATGGCATATTGTTTGAGATTCGTGAATAAAGTGGCAAAGAGATCGCAGGATTCGGAAGAATTGACTTCGGCTGAGTTGAGAGCTGCAACTAATAAGATTTGTTTGCTTGTTCAGGAGGAGGAATTTGCAGATGAAATACATGAGTTGAATGGAGGCAATAACTTACCTAGAAGATCACGATTATTGAGATTGAGTCCAATTATTGACGAAAAATTAATAAGAGTTGGAGGAAGAATAAAAAAAGCGTTATTGCCATTTGATCAGCAGCATCCCATCCTTCTCCCTAGTAAACATCCTATCACTACCCTCATAATAAGATCTACTCACGAAGAATATATGCACGCAGGCGTTAATGGCACTCTATATGCAATTAGGGAAAAATTTTGGCCCATTGATGGGAGATTATCGGTGCGTAAAATTGTAAACAGATGCATAAAATGTTTTAAAAATCAACCTAAAGAAGTATCATACATTATGGGCAACCTTCCAAAAGTACGAGTTACACCGTCAAGACCTTTTGAGAATTGCGGTATAGATTATTGCGGACCTTTTTATGTGAAAGAAAAAAGATTAAGAAATCGAGGAAAAATTAAAGTGTACGCGGCAATTTTCATATGTATGAGTACGAAAGCGGTGCATGTTGAATTAGTGGGTGATATGTCAACGGAAATGTTTTTGGGATGTTTGCGAAGATTTTTTGCTAGGAGAGGTAAATCTAAAAGAATGTATTCTGATAATGGACTCAATTTTGTAGGAGCGAAAAATGAGTTGAGCGACATTTACAGCATGCTCAATAAAAAAGAAAATAATGAAACAATAAAAAACAATTTAGCAAATCAAGGCATTGAATGGTATTTTTCACCACCACGTACTCCACATTTTGGTGGAGTATGGGAAGCAGCTGTGAAGTCGCTCAAGACTCATCTGAAAAGGACTGTCGGGGAAACTCTTTTCACTTACGAGGAATTGTATACATACATGTGTGAAGTAGAATCAATATTAAATTCAAGACCGCTCACACCAATGTCAAATGACCCGAATGATATGCGTGTTTTGACTCCAGGTCATTTTTTGGTCGGATCATCATTGATGACGATTCCATCATTAGATTTTTCACAAACTCCATCAAATAGACTAAGTAATTGGCAACACATTCAAAAACTAAAAAATGATCTGTGGAAACGATGGACTCGCGAGTATCTAAATGAGATCAACGTGAGATCAAAGTGGCACACAGGTTCTCCTAATATTATAAAAGAAGGAACTATAGTGATTTTAAGAGATGATAATTTACCTCCTTTACGGTGGAGTTTGGGAAGAATTATTCAGGTGTGTCCTGGAGATGATGGAGTTATTCGAGTAGTGAAGATTAAAACTCAGAACGGAATATATACTCGTGGAGTGAAATTAGTTTCGCCACTTCCGATAAATGATAATTATTGAACGTGCCCGTTCAAGGGGGGCAGAATGTTAAGAATGACTAAAATGACAATCGGAAATTGTCGTTGACGTGCGATGAAACGCGAATATTTTAAGTAAGAAATTTTAGATAGAAAAAGAACGAGGATCGTCAGTACTCGACACGAGGGCGAATAATAACTACTGTAATAGACGATACATTTTTTTGAATTATATTAAATTAAATAAATCATGTGGAGTGATTGTTTATAAATAATGTGAATGTTCTTTTTAATAAATTATAATAGTAAGAATAACAATCTTGAAAATAAATAAATATGAATAGTGATTAAATTGTTACAGACTTTATTTAATCCTAGAAGCCACACAATTAAAACATTAAAAATTATTAGGCTTGATTGTGTAGAATTAACAGTCCTCAACTGAATTACAATTACAATTACAATAAGTAAATATCCAGGATATAAAGCATCACGCCACTATTACTATACTCACGGCCGGTCCACGCGCGGCGTGCCAAAAAGTAAAACTGTTATAAATTCTAAATGTTTAATCAAATTAGTTTAAAACCTTTTGGAAAAACTCTATTGAACTATTACAAACAATTCTTCCACTGGAAGTTTTTCCAATTCGAAAGTTCGTCACAGACCTTTATCATTTGAAAGTATTAAATAATTTTTTTTGGCCTTTAACATAAATAAATTAATAAAAATGTTAGTTATTATTTTAATTTATTTATTGTTCATCTAACACTTTTGGGACACTTTGATGAGTAAATCCTCCAAATCTGAAGTCAAAAAGTCAAAAAACTTCGGATTTATGACGAGTTGAACATAAAATTGAATGAAATATTACGGTATAAAAAAATCAAGTTTTTTGCAATTATTTTGAAAACAATTCACTTTAAGAAAAAACTTTATTAAGAAAAAAGTTGCGTAATTTTATTCTCTACAAGGATATAATATTCAAAAATCAAAATTAAAAAATTTTTTTTTTTCATGTCAGGGGCCAACTTAAAGCGCTGGATTTCACGCGTATGCCCTTCTACGATCCGGCGGTTCAATTTTTTCTGAATCGTTTTTATAAAAAGCAAAACTGCCATCTACCTTCTAAAAAGCTCGGCTATATTGATTTTATCGACAAATTTTTTCTCATGCATTTTAAGTTATGTTTATAAGCTGTCACTTTTTAATTATCGAATTGCACATTGTTTTTGATTTTCTGTTATTTTTATTTTCAAATTTAATTTTGAGTCGATTCAATTCGGCCATGATTGATATAAATTGATTAAATTTTTTGCATCAAAAAATAAGACCGTTTCGTGTATCATTTCTAAAAATGATACACAAAACGATCTCTTTTTGATATAACTTATGTACATCAAAACGTTGCAATAGAAAAAGATACAACCAAGTTTACTGTGTACTTGAAGTAGTAGTTTTAATTACAGACGACTTGTTAATTCTACAACAAGAAATTTTATTGAAGCCTAAATCGGCAACATTTTTTTCAGTGTAGGTGATTTTTGTTTGACTTAATAACTTTTCATATTGTTATTGGTTATTGAAAAATTGAAACAATTCTGAAATTGAAAAATCATAGTTGAAGAAGTTTTTGACAAAGATGGGTCTCAATCTAGAATTTTTATAAATTTTCTTGCAATCTTTGAAAACAATTCTTTATTATTTTATAAATTTCTCTCTTTTTGAGAGAGAGAGAGAGAGAGAGTTCAACTTAAATTGATATTTGGAACGAAAATTCTTGATCTCGGAAAATAGTGTAAAATTGAAAGCTCCTGGCCTGGGACAATTTATCTGAAAATTGCTTGAAATTGGAAGCTTTCACCTTACACAATTTATCCAGACATATCTAGATGGTCACGTATGTGTATGTATATAATTTAAGATTGTATGGTCACTTATTGTACAATCGTTTATAACGATATTGCTTTTATAAGCGATAAATTATAGTTTACCCACTTCTATACACGTTCTAATTTGTAACAAATTTTAAAAGATTTTTTCTTTCTTCTTGTTGCTTAACTATGTTTATAGCAATATCCAAATATAATATTTAACTTTAGAAATTTGTTTTAAACTTCATGGAAGTTTTTATATTACTCTGTTGATTTTTGTTAACTTCATTTAATTTTTTTATTTTCATTACTTGTTTGGTATTTCTCATTTAATAAATTTGTTGGTCGTTTTTTACAGTATTTCGTTGGATTTTGAAAAAAAATTATTTTCCTTACGATTTTTGTTATAGTCTTTTCTTCCTATAATCGCAAATTTATTTGAACTTTTTCTAAAGAACTCATTGATTTATGATCGTTCTTGATAAATTTCTATATGTTTTATTAAATTTTTCTTTCTATCAATATGTTACATATATTTTGAAAATGTGTATATTTTCAAAATTTCTTGTAAAATAATGTTGATGGAATAAAATGTACAGTTGAAAAGTAGACGTAAAATGATGGTAACAGGCAGAGCACGTATTGTCTCTTCATTTCTGTCGCTCAATAAAATAATGAGAAAATGACTAAATTCAATTTCTATGCTACTTTTCTTCACTTGTCTGCGCTTTCTCTCGACTCGCTTACGGAAAATTCACCAGGGCCTCTGCTTTTATATATTCCGGGAAAACGTGAATAGCGTGCACGAATAGAACAGCAAAGTTCTTCCATCCACGACAAGACTTTACGACTTCAGGCTCACCCAAATTCCTTCATGTTCGAATAGAGCCGTCTATTTTTCCTTTTTTTTTGCCTTATCGAAATTCCATATTTATCCTCCACATACTTAACGTCCACTAAAGTTTTTGATAAACGTCTTGTTACCTTCCTTTTCTTTTCTTTGTTCATTTTTTATTACAGTTTGCGCAAGCTTGAAAATAATAGTGGTTTAGTTGGATTTTTAATTTATGACATTGAAAGAAAATTTATTCTTATTTCGTTAAAATTTAATATTTTCTGACAATTTAAGAAGATTTTGATTATCTTTTTTTTTTTAAATGTTAATCAAAATTATCGATTTTACGTCTGTGGAAAATATTAATTATTTAAGGCATTGATACTTTATATGTCGTATGTATATAAAGGGTGTTTTTTATGTTCCGGACCCCCGAAATTTCTTTTTTAATTCTATTATTTTTGTTTCAAAAACGAAAAAAAATGAGAATAAAAAAAAATTTTTAGTGGGTCCGAAACATAAAAATCACCCTGTATATTCAAGTGATATTAATCATAATTTTTATTGTTAGGAATTTTTTTTTATTTTCATCTTGTTATTTAAAACAGTATATTATGAGCAGATTTTTATCATAAATATTTCTGTTTCGGTATATCAGTTAAATTGATCTCTCTGCGCTTCCTTATTAACTATTTCTCTTTCCTTTGCCTCAAAGGAAGAGTTTTACATATAAAGGCAGTATAAGCAAAGTCTAATAGGTACTCTCGAAATTGCATGAACCTTTAGTGTAGGTATGTTATGAAAGTCTCTGCTTCTTTTTAGAATAGAATGGAATGCAAATGAAATCCATTAAATTTTCTCCAATTTTTTTCTTTTATTCCTTTGTGTATACAATAATAATGTCTATTATTATTATTAACAATAGATTGTATTTCATCTTTTATGAATGTCTTGAAATTAGAAATCTGCATTTTTTAAATGGTTTACATTGTACTAGAGTTATTTGATTTCGTATTTTAATGTATATATACAATCTTAGAATAGAGCAGCATTTCTTGTGATTTTGCCATTAGTTTCACATTATCTGAAGTTGAGGCAAAAAATTTGAGATCTTTTTAGGACCATTTGAAAGTTACTTCTTTTCACGATTCTCGGTAACTTTTTTCTTTTTCTTTATTTTAACATTGTTTGGCGAAAAAAAAAACAACAAATTGCTCCGCAAAGGTACAGTTAAATGAGAAAAAGTGTCGTTTCACGTAATTTACAATGTTTTCTGCATAAATATAGGAAAATCTCATTTGAAGGAAATCCTGGATTGACCGAGCTTTATGAATCTCTAATCCAGCGCACATGGTTTGTGAAGCAACCAGGTTTATGTGATTTCGAATGGTTTTACTGCCTTGTTGCAAGCTCGGAAAACTATCGACCTGAATTTGTTCCCACGAGTATGATAAATTGGGCCATTAATTGTGCAATCTAGAATAATTAACGTCTCGTGGAGTGTGTCCTTCATCAGAATTAAATGTTTGATTAGCGTTACGAACTTCGCATTAGAAATAATTGTTTGTGTTCTTTTTTTTTATAGCATTCTTAATTGTGTTCTGGGCTTTGATTTTATGGAATTTTATAACATAATCTTGGTAATTTTTGAAATATTAAAAAAAATTTTTCTTTTATTATTTCTCATTTTTTTCTGTATATTTGTTCTCCTTCATTTCCCGCGTTTTTTTATTGCGTTGTGTTGAGTTATATTCTTGTCGTCTTATATACAATTTCGCTATTCCTCTGTTTCGTTATGATTTGTAAATTTTGGTCGATTTCTTCAACTTCTTTCATTTGCAAAGTCATTGCCCTGGTCTTGTTTCTTTTTTTTTTTTAGCATGGAATTAAGCGATAACACGTACGGAAATTGCTGCGCCTTCCTGCAACCTGCTAGTACCGGGCTAAGTTTCTGTGAAGGGAAGGAAGTACGATGAGATGCATGAAATAAAGATAGGTTATGCACAAGTTTATCGATCCACTAATGAGGTTTGCGTAATTTTGATACGATGACGTTACCTTATCAAGACAGACTTTCGCGCACGATACTCATTCTTTACTTTATATCCATATATGTATACACACATATGGGGCTTAATATTATTACTAGCTTGATTAACGTTTATTTCTACTTTACCATCATATTGTGACACATAAAATCCACCCTATTTTCTCGTGCTTTACGACCCAAGTGTCGACAATTCGTCAATTTAGTCTTACTACGTTGTTTCATGAGGAAACGTGTTACCTTCTATATATATATGAATTTCTCGGAGGAAATGCTCAAATTTTATG